GTTTTCACAAATGAAATTATAAGTCCCTGTTCTACTATCAAGTAGCCTCTCAGCTGCATATTTGTCTTTTTTCCTCACAACAAGCCTCTCTTCCCTCCCTAAAACCCAGGACCCTCATATATTCTGTTACCAGCCTTAGGGTGAGGAGCAGGATATCCTTCCCTCTTGGTACCCCCTGCGTCCGCTGGTGACTCCCCTCCCAGACGTGCTTGCAGGCAGACCAGTAGCAAGAACGCCTGCACTCTGAATTCAGATTCCAGCGCCCTTCTGGGGATGATGAAGTGTGACCAGCCAAGCAGGGAGGAGAAACTATGCCCCACAAGTTAACTACCTAACCGTTTCAACACCTAAGGGGAAATACTTCAGACTGTGAAATTATTCCAGAGGTAATACATATTCAGAAATAGGTGGAAAAAAGGTAAACCTACATTTCACAAAGCAGTAGCAACAACCTCTGCAGGGTGAAAACAAATCCATAAAGTCCACATATACATTCTGCTTCTGCCCTGGAGAAGGCGGTATGGGTTACTTAGTAGACTTCAGCTTGCACTGTTGTAACAGACGCAGACTACTGCAGTGATAAAAACTATGTAAGAAAGCAGGGAGCAGAGTAAAAGAAAAAGAGCTAGCTGGGAATGTGTGGAGAAAGCCCAAAAAATAGACTCTGCTGCAACTCCCCAAAGAAAAATTCTAAATAGGGGATGTACTTTTTGATGATGGCCAATTCATCATCCCCTGATGGGAGGAGGGTGGGAGGTTTTTGGCTAACATCATGCATTATATCATTACAGTCATTACAGATCCATTAGTGGGTGTTCAAGGTGCTGAAATGACAGCCCAGTAGCCAAATTGTTGTTCTTTGCTCTTTTAGCATAACATTTAGCAGAATTTCAGGAGCTCGCAGAGCACTTTTAGACTTACATTCTGCCAACATTAGAAGTTTTAACCAAACCCTATCGACAATGCCACTAACATCTATACCAGCTATTTCTCTAGACCCTGAAGTGTCCCAAGTACTCTCTCTGTACACAAACCACTGTTTGCAAGAGGCTTTACATTTTCCCGAGCCTCTCTCAAAGGAATGCTAAGTTTTACTTGCAAGTACAAGGACATACACAATCAAGTGAGTAGTAATTGCTGACAAAAGCACACCTGTACTTGACAGCTACAAAAAAAAGAAAATCAAGGGTGTAACTCATAATGACACCCCCTTCCCACTAACTTCCTCTTCCCATTCTTAACCAACATGTCAGACACTTATTTAAGAGTTAAGCCCCACTATGTTCGTAATGGCACTTAGCCACCTATATACCTTTGAAAAATATGATACAACTGCTTTTAACCAATGGCTATTCATAATACTCTTTTTACTGAACTCACAACTGATGCATTTTGCTTTTACATGTACACTTAAATTTTCCTCATAAAATAACACCAGTAAATAGTATCAAGTTTTATCAGGATAGTTATACTGACCAAAGCCTTGGAGTGAGAATGAGTAAAACACATTTTTCAATGAAAACGTATTCTTCAATGAAAGATATATAAGTTATTGCCTCATAATAGCTTAAAATTTTAAAAAGTTTAAAACTATGTCCTTTCTGGGGCTGAGAGGGGCAGTCACATTAAAACCATAAACAATGCCTAGGTCATTCTCTTTAAAAATGTGGCTTGTTTAAGGAAATAAATGACTGGCTTACGAGGTTGGGACGGCAGGAAAATCTGTACGATTGCATGAGCAATTATTTCAAAAGAATGAAATTAATTCTTCTTCTTCATCAATGCAGTACAGCAAAAGATGTTACAGACCGCTGCGCGTATATCAAATGCAGCATTGATACAAAACATTTTATTTCTCCTTATTGTCACTTATATCAACTAATGATGAAGTCCAATTCCTTTTTATTATGATTAAAAATAACCTTTGGGTTATTATTAACCTCTAGGACTAAAAATAACCTTCACTCTTCTCTCACCTTATTACCACTGGGTCAGAGACTCATGAGAAACTGTTATTTTAAAGAGAAAACTGTCCAAGTGTGGCTGTACCTTACATAGTGTCCTGGTTTCGGCAGGGATAGAGTTAATTTCCTTCCTAGTAGCTGGTACAGTGCTGTGTTTTGGATTTAGGGTGAGAACAATGTTGATAACACAGCAATGTTTTTAGTTGTTGCTAGGTAGTGTTTATACTAGTCAAGGACTTTCCAGCTTCCCGTGCTCTACCGACTGAGAAGGCTGGAGGGACACAAGAAGCTGGGAGGGGGCACAGCCAGGACAGCTGACCCAAACTGGCCAAAGGGATATTCCATACCATGTGACGTCATGCTCAGTATATAAAGCTGGGGGAAGAAGAAGGAAGGGGGGGACGTTTGGAGTGATGGCGTTTGTCTTCCCAAGTAACCATTACGCGTGAGGGAGCCCTGCTTTCCTGGAGATGGCTGAACACCTGCCTGCCCATGGGAAGTAGTGAATTAATTCCTTGGTTTTGCTTTGCTTGCGTGCGTGGCTTTTGCTTTACCTATTAAACTGTTTTTATCTCAACCCACAAGTTTTCTCACTTTTACCCTTCCGATTCTCTCCCCCATCCCACTGGGGAGGGGAGTGAGCGAGCGGCTGCGTGGTGCTCAGTTGCCAACTGAGGTTAAACCACAACACATAGTTAAAATCTCTAGAGTTTCAAAAAAACCTTTATAATTTCTGAGCCATTTATCAGATGTTACGATGCATACACTGGAGGGAAATGTGGTCCAGTGAATTAAGTCAGCTGATCAAGCTAAGCTGTGAAACCTCGGACAAGTAACTTTGTCTTTTAACAAGGACCTTATATTTTCTTTGTAGAGCGCTTAAAGGTTAATCAATATGTTGGAGCGGGTCCAGAAGAGGGCCACAAAAATGATCGGGGGACGGAACACCTCTCCTATGAAGAAAGGCTGAGAGAGTTGGGGTTGTTCAGCCGAGAGAAGAGAAGGCTTCTGGGAGACCTTCTTGCAGCCTATCAGTACTTAAAGGGGGCTTATAAAAAAGATGGCGTCAGACTTTTGAGCAGGGCCTGTTGTGACAGGACAACGGGGAATGGCTTTAAACTAAAGGGGGTTAGATTTAGACTAGATCTAAGGAAGAAATTTTTTACGCTGAGGGTGGTGAAGCACTGGCACAGGTTGCCCAGAGAGGTGGTGGATGCCCCATCCCTGGAAACATTCGAGGTCAGGTTGGAGGGGGCTCTGAGCAACCTGACCTAGTTGAAGATGTCCCTGCCCACGGCAGGGGGATTGGACTAGATGACCTTTAGAGGGCCCTTCCAACCCAAACTATTCTATGAATATCAAAGGAGGAGATATTATTATTATTTCTCTATCAGATAATGGGTCAGATCCTCAGCTGGTGCAAGTTACTCACTGACTGCCGACATCAGACATGGAGCTCAGGTCGCATTCAGCGGCCTTGCACTCCCTGCACGTTCACCTCAAAAGGGCACTGAATACCAGCTCTGCTCTTTCTGGAGCTCTACCATTAACAATAATCTTGACCATTATTTTGTCCATTAAGCAAACGTCTAAAAATCTTTATCCCTTTAGTGCAATTCATTCCTTTTGAACAGGGCCAAAACAGCCTTTTTTTTTTTCTTTTATTTGTGCATAATGATTATTGAATGTCATCAACATAAATGTGCAGTGCTCTGTAAAAAGCACAGGAAATCCCTTCATGTATACAGCCTTCATTTAATTACCTAAGAACTCACATGTGATAATTTGTCTGAAACAGCTAAATCCATAACTGTACATTTCTATTCATTTCTAGATGGAAGAATAGACTATATAACGGGAGTACATTCTCCTTGTGGTTTACAGTCTCATTAATACTAACCAAATTAAGCCTATACACTGAACAGATCTTCAAGGCTTAAAAGTCCTATGTAATTTTGAAGTCCACAAGAGGGATTAACAAAAGAAGTGCAAATTTCTATGATTTGTCAAAAAATTGTCACTGAATAGGACATACACATTCACAATGTCAATGAGGCTTGATCTTGACACGGAGCTAAAAACTGAGTGCATAGTCTCTGTGAACATAGAACATTCATGAAAATTATGATCTTGACCTCTTATTAACAATATTTCAGATTAGTAAAGCAAAAGGGCTTTTAAAATCCAGTGCACTTGAATTTTCTTTCCCCCCCTGTTATGCTTTGCTGCTGCTGACAGCTCCCAGACTCTCAGTGCTTAGTTCTCAGAAACACAGAAGCAGAAGAGAGCTGAGGCTAAATTTCTGTTCTTGTGAATTCTGCACCAGAGAGGACTTGCACGCATGGTAAGATGCTCCCCTGCAACTCCTTCTCTCTCTTGTCTCTAGCTTCTCTGCCATGGAAAGATAAAATATCTGGCACATGAGACAGAGGAGTTTCAGCCTTCAACTGATGGGAAGATAATTTATAAGAAAACTCCAAGCATCTTAGGGTCCATGATATTTGCACAGTGGTAGAACCCAGCCCTCCATTACTGTGGCACTAACATTACCCTGGTAGCACAGGTACTTATGGTTCTGGAATGGAATGATCTACTTGCAGTATACTAAACAGGGCAGAGCATTGCTTCACACAGATCCACATAGCTCTATAGCTTCAGAGAAGCAGCACTGACCTACTCACAGCTGATGTGTAACCTTGTTTGGGTTTTTTTGGCCGGTTGGTTTTGTTTGTTTGTTTGAACATTGCTGCAGTAGAGAATGCTATAGATATGCATTAACACTGAGACAGCTTGTCAAAGACTAAGGGAAGGAGGGAAATGGCCTACACACAAAATCTCAGCAGCTGAATTTTTCTAGGGACGTGATATGTAGCACTCGCTGAACATCAGCAGAATTTCAGTCCTATGTACAAGCCTCCTTCTACTATTTAAATATAAGGAAAGAAAACTGACAGAAACTTCTCTTTACAATCTCTGTGGGCTACAGAAAGACACCTCGTCCCCAAGACTCAGAGATGCTGATCATCTCTTACTTACATCCATAAACTCCACATTGGCTTTTGGACCAGTGGTCTCATTTAGGATCTTAATGGCCACAGGAATCTTTACAGTTTCTCCCTCGGGGACCCAAATGCCCTAGAAAGATTTAAAAAAAAGTGACATAAGACAACAATCATAGAAACTTCATTTAGAGTTACAGTTCTTTCTGATGCATTTTGTCACATTATGCAGTTCAGTTACGAACCTCAGAACTGAGAATACTCAAGAGTTATAAAATAATAAAAATTCCACAAAACTACTTATCGATTGATATCTGAGAATTTAAAGCTGAGATGGCTAAAAAGTAAACTTTACATTTAAAATTCACAAACTGTGTCTCTTGGGATACTTTTCCATCCTTCTTGACTATTGCTGTGTTCTTGGCAACCTCATGGTATCCTTCTCTATCACTTTATTATTGTCCAAGTCTACTCAAACTGATTATTCAAAAATGTATTCCCATGACCTTGTAGCTGTAGTGACCTGGTCTGTACTTCCTCCATTTCCTCCCCAATTTGAAGACAGATGCAGTATCTGTCCTCCTCCGCTGCTCTGACCTACCCACCTCGATTTGGCAGGTTTGCATTGCTCCAAAAGGGTCAGGTGATTGGTTTGACTTGCTCATTAAGCCCTACTTCGTGTCTTTGAGATTTGGACATGACCAACAGATCTTAAAAAAAAATAAAATAAAAAAATCTTTAACTGAAGTATTTTTTCCCTTTTGGGTTCTGCTCTTACATCCTGGTTGTTAAAGGGTGCATTGACATAACTCATCTTTTCTATTTAAATGGAAGAAACAATAAGTATTACGGTTTAGCTAATGACAACATTGTTTTACAAGGTATGATGACTATTACAAGACCCATGTGACACTAGCGAAATGAGAGACACAGTTTATCTAGCTTTCCAAAAGTGTACTGTAAAGCCATTATGTAAGAACAGAATGACAGACTTTGACACTGCATTTCAATATCAAGACAGCCTGGCTTGTGCAGTCCTCCTGTGTGCAAGGACGCCTGCGGCTGACACTCCTTTTCTCACCAAGAAATAATATCTGCATGTCTGATGAAAACTGAAGTTAACATTTGAGCCTGAAGATGTGCTCCTCCCACACAATTCCAGTATCCTATGTGCTTCCCAGACATGTAGGGCTCATGAACCCATCCACAGTACGGGATGCTTTGTTGCAATGCAGAACTTGACTGTTCAAAAGTTAAACGAGGGAACTCACTGCTGTGTATTGAAGACTCTTACCTTGTATACGGTTCCAAAGGCTCCAGAGCCAAGAACCTTGACTCTCTTCAGCTCAGTTTCCTTCAGGATACGAAGCTGTGCTTGGTTGGGTGCTGTGCCACTTGGAGTCAAGGGTTCCACAAGCTATGAAGGAAAATCCAAGTCTTAAATACTTGAAAATGTGAAGACCCTTCAGAAGTTTATGCTGAAAACAACCAATCCAATTAAATACTGGAATGAGACAGTGGTGGGGTCTATTGACCATTGACCTGCCAACTTGAGGGATTTCTCGCCTTCAAAAGCAAATGAGCGATGCTAAGAAACCAAGAGATGTAATAAAGAAAATCTTCACTCAACGTGTAGTAATTTCCACCAGGAATTGCATGATGGAATTACGAACTGGAAACTGAATCGGTGTCACAGTAACACACCCAAGGACTTTTGCTAATGGAGGCAGTATAAATATTTCCTACATGACAGAAATACAGCATTTATTATCAGTGCACCACATTCTATTTTTGCCCATTTTAGTGCCTTTAAGTTGGCCATATTTCTTTTTAATAGCCCTGACTTAATGGCTCATCACATTCTTATTCTGTTTTGGGGAAGGGACTATTTTTCTGAACTTCTGTTATACCACATAGGAGAACAGCTTTAAGGAGAAAACATCTTATAGCAGACCACTGATTTATAACAGCCACTAATTTCTGCAAAAAAGGTACAATTAAACAATTTGCTCAAGATGTCCCAAGAAACTTTGTAAATGAGCCACAATGGCACATTCAGTTAAAAACGCTCTCAGATCTCAATGTTATACTGTCTCTGCCAGAAAAAAACAATGCTTCTTTAAAAATATATTAAAAATACATGAAAAGGACAATACTCTAAACAATGAAAAATAGTTTGTTCCTTTGCAGGATGAGGAAAATAATTCAGGGGTACTCCTACCCAAATTGCTTTGAAACCACTGCTGTATTTCAAAGTTGTCTGTTTACAAGGCTAAATGCATGATGCTCTGCAGTTTGAGAACTACTTCTATGGCTCTTTGAGCATCATGAACTAAATTAGTTGACCAGACTACTTTGGTTCAGATAAAAAATACCAGTATCTGGAAATTGTTAGAGTAAGAAAACATAACAAAAGCAAACAGCAACAAGTCAGGCTATCACAGAAATAATTTGTGTGCTGTACTTTTTTTAGAGTGATTTCTTTTTCCTCCTTCCCACTTTAGATGTCCAGTACTTACACGGTGAAAGACAGAAGGTTTACTGTAAAAGAAAAGTAGACAGACTAGTGGTACATTTCTGTATTTTCAGTTTGTGAAGGGTGAAAACAGCTTCTGTGCCATAGTCCACCAACACAGGTATGGCAGGGAGAAGTGTTGTGGGCCTCTCAAAAAATGCTTGTAGAGTTTTACTGAGAATGACCTACAGAAAGAATAGGTCTGCTACAGCTTCCAGCTAGAAATAGAGACTTTAGCTGAAACCAGAGTCACTTGTGTGTTTATCTCAGGATGCTCCTGATTTAATATTCTGTATCCAAGCCAAGACAACACCTTCCCCACATGTTCAGTAGGAGACCTTGGTCCCTCAGCCACACCTTCTACCTGACCAAACGTAGAATGAGAGCTGGACTTCAAAGTCAATACTTCTCAAATCCAATGAAAACTACCTGCTTCAAATCATTTATGCTTAAGTAGGGGCTGATACAATGGCAAGATTTACATATCTAAAGGCGCCAAGTATTGTTAAGCTTTCTATACAACTGCACAGTATTTAAGAAGCAACACAAATTCTAGCCAAGCATAACGATACTTAGGCAAACAGATTGGGGATGCATGTATCATTTGCTCCCAGGCTCTACAGTAGAGATGAGTGGGAGCAGGACCCTTGGAACAGAACAGAAAACAGCACTGTCAAAGAATCACTAGCTAATGATATTCCCAAGCTTTATTACCTTACAAGGGGGACCCTAATTTAAAAATATCACTTGCAAAGTGTCTCAAGCATAGGACTGAGGAGATAGTAGTAATCACCTTTGCTGTAGCTGACAGATAAAGATTTAATGTTATGTTTAAATATACTTCCTAGATTGCCCCCTCCACCACTGGCATTTCAAAGAGCAGGATGGAGCGGGCACAGCACTCTGTCCTATAGCTCCACTATAGGACAGAGACACTTTTTGCCAGTAGAACTGTGAACCTCGTTTGGTTAAGCTCTGGGAAGTATCTTGGCTTAATAAAATACATCATTATTACCGATCATGACTACAGACCTTGACAAAATCTGGACCACATAGGCAATACAGGCACTGGGAACAACAGTAAGTGACAATCTCTGCATTTAAGCATTCCTGATGAGCTTAAGTTTGCATCAGAGCTTGCTGAACTTACCGAAGTAAACTTTTAAGACTGAAGTATGCACTGGATGAAAACCTGTAATATTTAAGCATGAGAGCTGCTAAATGTACTAATGAACTGGGATAGAAGTTCAGTTGAGAGCAGGATGCGAGTTCAAAAATCTGGTGGAACATGACTTTGTGATCATGTGGATCTTTTTTGGTCTTCAAAAGCCACAAATCTATATATGTACAGAAAATTATTATCTTGAAATAGCTTCATTCATTCCATGAGTTCAGTCCTGCAGAAGTTAACAAAAGGATTTCTACAGACCTCTCTAGTAACTGGACTGAAGACCTGAACATCTTTAATATGAAAGCAGAACAGCTCTGCACATCTTTTCAAATATTCTGTGAGAAGCACACTCTTACCTCAGTCTCCAGGAATCTTCGCAATGCTCTCTTCTTTTTAATGCTTTTGCGCCGAACATACACGGCAAATGTCAGGCCCACAATGACGATGATGAAGAGGCCACCAATAACTCCCGCAGCAATCAGAGGGGTTCTAGCAATCAGAATCAGAGACTTTATTTTTAGGTAGAGTGAGATCAAAGAATGGTTGGGTACATAAAACACAATCACTTGGAAAGTTTATTAACTGTCTTACGACCAGAATTTCTAAGGCAGTCCAAATGGGAAGTCAGGGGAAACACATTAACATATGGTATGACTTTTCTTGTTTTTAATCAATATACCAATTCGACTTTTTTCAAACCACCATGCACATGTGAGGAGTTGTGTGGACAAGGAGATACAACATGCATTTTGATGGCAAACCCAAATCTGCAATGGCAAAATGAGGATACAGGTATCTGCTGTTTTCCTGCAAGAGCTTGAACTATGCTTACTCTTTGGCTCCATCTAGATTAACTCTTGGCTTGTGCATTTAGGGGAAAACAGACTAATGAAAAACTCCCAAGCTACCAGTACGATGTGCCCTCCTGAGTATGGAGGAAGTGAGAGGCAACTTCAAACAGGGTGTTTCATAGACAAATCTAGAGACATCATACTCATACACCTTCCTCAAGTGGAGGATATTTATATATGAACAATGTAATTCATGCACCCTCTTGGAACTCTTCGTTCATTACTATTACACACAAACATTTTGGTCAGGGGTTATGGTTGCACCCATCTGGTTTTGCTGTGGCTTTTCAGCACAGCCAAATCCCAGACCAAAAGACTGGTGTGTTGGAGCCAAATAACCTCCTGTGAACAATGCCAAGCGAGGCTCAGCTTCTGCACAAGACCTGTTGTCCCCCCACTACTCCTATAACTCCTTTCAGCTTCCCAGGATCTTGAGCAGCATGAGCTACAATTACTAATTTGTTTTTCCATGGTGATAAGATACAGTAGGCTGGCATCATGGTAGATACTACACAAGCACAAAAAAAAGACTGTCTCAGAGAGTCACTCTGTTTGACTTAGGTGCCCACATTTGGAGATCGCCTACACAGTCAGTGGAGAGAAGCAGGCTCCTTCCGAAGAAAAAGTCAAAGTGATAGGTGCTCTGACTCAGTTTTATTTCTCTCTCTCCCCGCTCCGTCCCTAAAGGGTGGGTAGCAGCCTCCAAACCAAAACATTAAATTAAGCATTTTCACGGAATACCAACAACTTACTAGCATAAACACAATCACAGCAGTTAACATTCCTCCAACAATGGCTGGACAGCAGCTGAAAAGGTGAGTAAAAAGAGACAGCATGGCAACTGCAGAGTATAAATGGCGCCGAAACCACTGCCTGGTAACTACAGGAAGTAGGTTAACTATTGTCAAGATTGTGGAAATATCACTACTATGCTTTAACAGCCTTCCTCAGTTATGTCTGAATGATGATGAAAGATACATTATGGCCTATTAATAAAAATGAACCACACAGCTACTGAAAATTTAAAGGAGTCTCTCACAGAAATAGTAAATTGATTTATCTGACCCTTTATTCTTCTTTTTATGTCCTACCACAAAGCTGAGCAGTGGGAAGCAGTGCCATCTAACCTGGTTTGATATATTAAGGTGTCTACATTACCACTGAGTACCATTTTGAAGCCCATCTCTAAACTGTCCTAACTCTCACTTGTCATTGCAGTTTGGTTCAGAGAGGTCTCAAAGCACACAACCTGGATTCATTTCAGATACCAACCAGAAGATATGTTTCTGGAGTGCACCTAATGAGCTCCAACCTCTAACTGGCATTAAGGTCCACAGGATCAAACTAGAGCTAACCCAAAGAAAAATCCCTTGCAGCGAACATAGCCTAGACATTGGGACCATTACCTATTTCATCCCTCCAGATCCATCCTGTTGTGTCGCTCCATGTTAACAAAGACAAAGCCTCATACGCCCACATCTAGTTATTAAAGCACCATGTTTAAAGCACCACTATCACATTTGCCCAGGGAAAACATTACACAACGCTGTAAGGCCTATTATAGTTCAAAGACTTTACAATGGAAACTGTAAAGCCTGCAAATAAAGGAAGCTGAACGTTGCCTGGCTGTGAAATGGATTATGATGTTTGGGAAATACAAGTCCAGTACCACCTACTCCTCAGGCAGAGACACTCCTCCTTCATCTAGCCTGGCCTTAAGACACATTCCCCTTTCTAATCCCATTGATTACTCTGCTGATTTTGAGTCCAGAGCTCAGATTAAAGGACCTGGCATATCCACCCAGAACAATGCTCCTCTTTGTTTGCATGTGCTTTCCGTGATGCTGATGCAAGGAACTCTTTAATGGGCAATTATGGAAAACAGTGGACATCAAAAGACTTCTGTGGAGCTAGTACTGACTAATGTTCTTGAACAGAGGACTTTTTTTTTTTTTAATGCTGTATGAACAATCATATAATTTTTAACAAATACCACCAAACCACAGACTGTCAAAACAGGCAGGAGATCTCTTGGCTTTAAAGTGCATATTAATAACTATCATAACAGCTGTCAAAACAAATAATTAGAGTTTTATGGTACCGTGTACACTACAAATGGTCCAAACAATATTTACATGATAGACCACAATAAGTAAATGGTTCCAAAGGAGACAGAACAACAAGTGAAGGGAGTAAAATGAAGTTATAAATTCCTTGCAGCCCTTTTATTGTTACAGGGTACAGGCGTTCAAAATGAATCTTTATGATCCATTGCGTCAACTCTCATTGACTTTAAAAGAAAGTCCTCATCATTTTTAGTAGTGAATTGAAAAAAGGCAAATAATTTTCAAAAACTTCACCAAACAAGCATTTAGTCATTCATGTGAAATATGCTGTAATTGCATATTATATCTGAATTTTTAGGAGGTGCCATCTAAACACGCTGTTAATCAAGCTTAAAAAGGGAGTGTAAGAAGAATAATATAACATGAGAGGAAAAAACCCCATATTTAAATGCTAAACAAATAACTGTAATGCAGAAAAAGTTTTATTTTGAACTCAAATAGTGATCAGCTTCCTTCACTCATAAGTCCACTATCCTCGCATAAAAATCATGATAGACACAAACAGCACAGACCTAAACAGATGCGACTGTATACCGTACAGCTTCTCCTCACTCTGCTACTGAGCTAAGCCCCAAAGTCAACAATCATGTGTTTTATTTGCTACAATACCAAATGACAAGTAACTGCCTTCAGTGCTTTCTGGTATCATCAGTGCAGTTCACTGCTGCTTCCAACCACATGTAGGTTATTTTCTAAGCCCAGTTTTCTGGGTGTCACCTACCTCATTTGGGTTATTTTTACTTATGTTCGTTAGGCTGAGTTTGCTTTTCTATCTATTCTGCTAACATCTTCAAGTCTCCTGTATAATTTCTCTACTATTTTCATGTTTGCAGTGTCTTATATTTAATACCCTGGTGAATTTCATTAACATGCTGTTTATCTTTCTTTTACACAATTGCTAAGGTTGTTTAACATGGATTCCTGTAAGGTGGTGCTGATCAGAGGTGCTGCTGAAGACACAAAACCTTTCTCCCATCTTGTTTTTTTAATCCAATCCTTTTTTTGCATATGCACCTAACCAACATTTCATCTTCACATACAGCTGGACGCACAAATCTCCTTATCTCTAGCGGCATTAAGGGCTTAATCCACTTACATTTTTGTTACGTTACTGCCCCACAACCACCTCTGTGAATGCAATTCGCTACATTTGCCCACCTCAGACTACTGCCCACCTAAAACTAATTCCATGAAAGTTAACAGGAGCAATGTTGATACAGAGACAAAAATTTCACTATCAAAAACCCCCATTTTGTTAAAGTAATTTTTAAAAGCATGGAGGCCCTGTTTCTCTGTTAGGGCTTGGAAAGGCTAAAGTCAAGCAAAGAGAGATAGTTCCATGTCAGTCCTGCCTGTCCAGCATAAACAATGGATGGCCAAAAGTCGATCCTAGCTCACATTTCTTTCACCTCGACTATGCACCCACCAACAGGAAACTCCTGATACAGCCACTACTTTCCTTTACACACTGAAAATCTACCCCAGAGGGTGAAAAAAATTTCTGTTAGGTGTTTCTGGACTTTTATGCTCATCAAAATAGACTTAGCAGTCCAAGAAATATGGCCCTGAATCATAATTCAACCCCATCTAATTAATGTGCGATCCCCCACCCCTCCCTCATCTGAGGACAGAATACCCAATTATTGATTGGAAAAGGCATAGGCAGGGGAGGCAGTGGGAGGGGGGGGGAAAAAAAGAAAACCACAACATGTGAAAAATCCTGCCTCTTAAACTGGAAACTGTGTCTCTGTGGCTAAAAGTTGAAAGTAAGATTCTAGTATTCCCTTAGGAGAAATGAATAATATATATTTCTTTTTAAATGTGTGCTGTGTTTTCATATTTAGAAGCATGTAACACTGACTCCCACACACCAAAATTGAGACAAAAAGTTCAAAGTTAGTATTCCAAGGTGGACAACGATGCTCAACAAGGGGGCTCGTATCATTCCATCCACTCCAAAACATCTGCAATTCCCACAGTGCTTTGAGACCAGGCATTAAAGCCTAATTACTGATTTGGATGAATACACGGTCTCATACTCTTGACTGGAGAGTGCAGCAGAAGGGGGAAAGGAAATAGAATTGTGGTGCATGGAGTAAAGCTGAAAAAGAACACCTGTTTTTCTATCTTTGGCATTAACCCACCTAATAAGATATGTAAATAATTTGAGCTTTGAAGCTGAGCTGTTAGAGGGCTTTAAGTTCCTGCCTCAACCTTCCCCAACCTTCCTCTCCTTTGAATTTTATCTATATGTTCAAACAGGACTCATTACAACCTTGAATATTTGGTAAGTAGCCGCTTCTTGTAAACTTCCATTATTAAGGCATTATTTTTTCCCGATGGACGATTCATACATTCTGCATTCCTCACCCCTTCCATCAGTGGGGAGTTCAGCTGACTGTGAAGCTGCACTTTTAGAGATCTAACGGATTCTGCTAATCATGGAAATGATAATCTTAGTATTTAAAATATACAAGATAAACAACCAGACTGGGAAGCAAATTTGTGTATG